CACACAAGCAGTTGATAACAGGGTGAACTATTTTCTGTTGTAATGGGACAGGCGTTGATGAACTGGCAGATGGGCTTTATAGATGCATCTCCCTGTTGCAGTGGCCCTCTTGCTCAAGCGGCCAACCATGTCCACAGCACTAACTTCCACCTGTGCTGGCCCTCCTTGGCTCTCCTGTTTCACTACGGGTTGGATTCTGCATCCTCTTCTTTATCCCTTATTCACTCCTCAGCTTGCTCCAGCTGATCGTTCACCCCTGTTGGTCCACAGAAAAGGTTTTTAAAGGTCTCCAGGGACCTACTTTTCTTACTTAATCTGCCAGATTCATCCTACTTCACCAAAGCACATTCTTTCTCCAATTGCTCTGGGTTTTAAGGCCCTACACTCCTCTGAGTTCTCTCTGGCTTCACCAGCTGTTCATTTCCTCTGCCAGTCCCTTCACCAGCCTCTGAATACTCTAGGGTTGCCAGGCTTGTCCTCAGTACTCCTGCCTTCCTGCTCTCTCCCCTGATTTCACTCATTCCCTTGACAGTACAGATCAGTTACAGACTGAGAGCTTCCAATTTTTTTATCTCCATCCTGAACCTTGCCCCATAACCCCAGGTGCTTGCATCCAAAGGCATACTAGATGCCAATATCCAGATTGCAAACTTAGCAAATCAAACTTGTTTCCCATGAATTCCCCCAACTCTTCCTCAGTCATTACATTTGATTAACTGCTTAGGCGCTCAACTAGGAATCATCTCTGTCCCTCAGAACTCATTTCACTCTATTAGCAGGTCATTCTGTCAGTTCTACCTGCAAACTGTATATACTGAGTCTCATCGCTCCTCATCAGCGATGCTTCCAATTCTAGTCCAGGCCCACTCACCTGGCCCACTGCTACAGATCCCTAATGAGCGTCCCAGCCTGCTTTGGGCACTTTTACCCAGCAGCAAGAGCAGCATATTCTAAAACCTAAATCAGATCCTGTTGCTCTCCTGCTCTAAACCCTCCTATAGCTCCCCATTTACATTGAAGATAAATTCCATACTCCTTCCCACCAGTGACACACTCCTTACGTGACAATCCATCCTACTTCCATCTTCACATAGTGCAAACACACTTGTGAGTCAAACCATCCCCAGAGCTTAGAGGCCTGTGGGATGTCAGGAYTCATTTATTCACAAGCTCATTCTAGGATCAGAGTCTTAGCATTTAATGTCCCTCCTGCTTGAGTTGCTTCCTTCCCAGGATTCTCTCCTCCTCAGAGAACTCACTCCCCCAAGGAACCATTCAAGAAATTCTGACATTATCCTATTTTATTTTCTACATAGTTCTTACTGCTTATGGAAACTTCCCTCCTGACTTATTCTCTATATTCCCCACTACAGCCTATTCTCTATGAGGAAAGGAACTTCACTATGTGCATTACTGAACCCTCAGGTTTAGAAGAGTGCTTGACACATATAAGGAACTCAAGTCCTTATTGAGTATCCGAGCAAAGTGGCAGGGTCAGTGCTGAATTCATAGGAGATGTCACTCCTTCCTTTCACAGCTCAACTCCTTCTGGATTCCTCTGAGCCCAGATTAGGGGCACGGGGATAGAGCACACGCCTGTAATCTCAGCAATTTGGGAGACCGAGGCAGCAGGATCTCAAGTTTAAGGTCCGCATCAGCAACTTAGCGAGGCTGTAAACGACATAGCAAGACCCTGTCTCAAAAAAAAAAAAAAAAAAGGACTGGGATGAGTGATTAAACGTCCCTTGGTTCAATGTTCAATTYCCAATTCTAAAGAAAAAAAAGCAAGCCTCATAATCAGGTACTTAAAAATTAAAAAAAAAAAATGTGGGATTTTTGAACTGGAAGAGGCCTTGACAATGAATCTCCCCAGTTGTTTTCAAACTTTCTCATCTCAACACACCTACARTCACCGTGGCCACTGGCAGCTGTAGCTTTCTATGGCCAGCATCTCAACTGGCTTCATGTGAGGGTGGCATGAGCTCTGTCCATCTCTTGGTGTTTTTTGACATTTAAGCCACACTGTGGATAAATTAAGGTCAGTACGAGTCACAGGAATGAAAAGCTGACTAAAATTTATTATTCTTGATTATATTGATTACTTCTTATATATTGATGTCTTAGRCTGTTGTTACTGTAATAAAACATCTGAGACTTAAAAAAAAAAGACAGTACTTCTATTCAATAAATTTTTGCGAATGAACTACATCATAGACTTTGGCTGAGGAATCTAAATTTTGATTGGCTTTTTATGTGGGTCAGTTGCCCATGACTTACCCTAAAAATACTGCTGAGCTACTGAAGTATAAATATATCATTTTTAAAGAGGATTAAAAATCCACAAAGAGAACTGATAGCTTGAAGAGAATAACAATAGTAAGGATTTAAGGAGGGCAGGGTTAGGAATTGAGAAAGGGATTTGCAAAGAACCCTGGGGATTGCAGGCAGTCAGCCATAAGCCTGGTGCAGGAACAAAGGTGTGTTTCAAAACCACAGACCAGGGTCTACTGAGCCCCAGTCAGGCCTGGCCCTAAGCCCTAATGTCAGCCACTTCCATGCCACTGTCCTGGGGGCCCAGTAGGACCTGCCTTGCTGAAGCTCAAACTCTCATGCTGCCCCTTCACACTCTGGCCCTGTGCCAGCAGCAGGGGACAAACTGTGTATTCTGGTTCTTGCCTTTTTGCACATTTAACTTTTATCCCTTAGTTCTTTCCCCTAGTCAGTCTCTTTAYTTCTAAGCTTAGAGGAAATGAATATATTTTGCTAATGTGAAAAGGAATCAAACCTGGGATTTAGGTTTTAGTACTCTGCATTCATAGTGGCTGGGGAAGATAAGGCAGGAGGATTGCAAGTTCAAATTCAGCCTCAGCAACTAAGCTGGGGATGTGGCTCAGGGGTTAAGCACTCTTGGGTTCAATCCCAGGTACTCCCAACCCCTGCACAAAAAATCCTGCATTTAACACATTGACATTTGTTTCTCAAAGCCCCTTTAAGTAGACTCTAGGGTTGTCCCTGTCACTAATCTGAACTTAAATTAATTTCACCAATTTTTTGGCCTGTTTTATCCTCCCACTGAAAGGGCAACTGARTGGGCAAGTCAGAACTCTTCCAAGGTTGTTTTTTTTACCTCCTGTAAAGGCAGATAATAATAGGAATGACTTTATTGGGTTGCTAATGAGTTATCAGATAGTAAATGACTGCCCACATGAAGTTTAGCATGATATATGGTATCTATAATAAGCATGTGACTGTTTCCATCTAAACTTCACAGCCATACTCTAAGGTAAGTACTGTCCCTTCCTGGGTGACAATCCAAGGGCCTTTCTAGCTGGTTCTTCAACAAGGCAGCACACGAGCATCTAAGGCATCATCACAGTGGTGCTGCATCTAGTAACAATGATTATTTATCCAGTGTCTATTATCTGCCCAGCACTGCACAACATGCATTATCAGTTATCTAATTTAATACTCCAATCTTGGTAAGTAGATACTAGTTCTCACATTTTACTAATTAGTAAATTGAGGTTCTGACAGGGTTAAGTACCTTGCCTGAGCTTACAGCAGTTTGTGAGTCTGAACTCTTATTTGATAGGCCTGTTTGACTCCAAAGTCCACATTTTCTCTACTCTGCTACTCAATAATAGTGAAATAAATTTAATTTAACGCAGGAAAGGAATGCTTGTTGGCAAGTAGAAACATTAGGGGACTAATGGTTTTAAAATAACTGTTTTATATATATATATATATATATATATTTTTAATGTTATGAGTATGTATCATTTCTTTTTGAAAAAACTGAAACTTGGCACTGAACTAGTTTTGTTTAATAGTTATATCTGCAACTTTGAACAGAGCAGAAAATAATTATATTTGATATGCTTTACATGAGAGAAAGCAATAATGAACTTAGGGCTACACCTTAATGAAAAATAAATCTTACTTTCTACCTGCCTTCTGGTTCATTCTACCATCAGATCCACTTCTCTCATGAAACCATGGAAMGTGAGACCTGGGTACTGCTTCTAATTTTCAGAATATGCATTTTACTCAGGACCAAATTTAAAACAAACACCCCCCCCATCTCTTCTTCAGTCTATCAGGATAAGAAATTACCTTGTTTATACCAAAAAGACTTTGAATATGCCAAATACTTTGTTGCAAAAGAAATATTGCTAATTTCTGCTACATTTGTAGTTAATTGAATATTTTCCTTAAAATAAGGGTTTAACATAAAAGTTGAAGTGCTAGGATAAGCAACCTGGTTTACAGCATAATTAGTATGAAAACATCTAGAAATGGACATAGCCTTTGAAGGAGTCCTTTCTCATAGTCATTGTTGGAGGTGAGCACAATTATAAGTGATTTACATTGCATATGTGAGTGTGTATGTGTACACATGCCAAAAAAAAAAAAAAAAAACCTTACATGTGGACCTATACTTATTTTTAAAGACCTGCCTTTTAAAATAAAAGTGTGTCACAAATTGCTGCTTTGCTAGATGCAGTCATTATCATATTGCTTCTGTCTGATTGACTAGTTAATTCTGAGGCTTATACCTGGGATGAGTATGCTTTACACATTTGTGAATGACAGTCAGTAACTGAGCTAAGGAGGTCATGGGGCACAGGCTATAGTTCTTTTCATGTTAATCACAATAAAGTAAGTCTGACACATAAGTAGGATGTATTCAAAACACTGATACCTGATAGCAGATCAGTTTAAAGGGAAAAAAAACCTGAGAAGTCATAATTACCCCAAAGATGTGAAAGAAACCACAGACACAGACCTGATTCTGCTGTAAAAAAGAAACAAAGCACCCTCCTGAGGTTGCCATACCAACTGTTCAGTCCATTGTACTCTTGCATCTTTCAGGGTTTTAATTTCATGGAAAAGTAGACATCTCCAAATAAAGCAAATGAAAACCACCAAAAGGGCTTCCTACTGGGGACGAAATTAAGGAAAAATATTTATCTGGGTCTTCAATGTTTAAAAGACATTAATTCTATTCAATTACTGGTATTTACTACAGTAGTGAGTGCAAAGTTTAACAAATAAAAGCTTACTGAATGAATCACARRATGAATGAAATGACACATAGTAATTTCTTGAGAGCATAAACTCCACTGTATGAACCTTGGAAGCAACCCTGTAGGTGTTTGGGTTATGAGAGTTTAGTACGTGTCATAAATGTGCTTCATCTGCTGCAGGTATATCCACATTCAAAAATGTAATGTTTAAATAAGGTCAATCTGTTGGTTATTACCGCCAACACAGCATATGCTAGCCTGCAYGAAGGTAAAGATTAAAACCTTTAACTGCTCAGTGTTAAATTAACCAAAGGTTCTCTTTTGAGGAAATTTAAAATTAAAAAAGTGTATGAAAAAAACCATTCATTTTCCAATATGTGAAATACTATAAATTAAAATCAGTAGAAACTAATAATAGAACAATAGCAGAACAAAATATAAAATTTGACTCTTGGCCCAGAGTATCCAAGTGGTTCGCTTCTACTTTTTATTTTTTGTGGTACTGGGGATTGAACCCAGGGGAATCTCTCACCGAATCACATTTCTAGCTCTTTTCTTATTTTGAGATAGGCTTTCACTGAGTTGTTGAGGCTGGCTTTGAACTTGCTTCTGCTTCAGCCTCCCAAGCAGCTGGGATTATAAATGTGCACCACCATGGCTAGCTGCTCAAGTTTTTAAAACTGGAACGGAAACAATGACATGGATAAAAAAGAACAAAATGTCTTTTACTCCATTTCAGCCTGTCATTAAGTTTCCATTCCCTGTTTTCAACTGAACTGGGCAAGAGGACTCAACAGAGCAGTGAGGAGAACTCCAGACTGCCTCAGCTGCAAGCACTCTCCACTCAAACACACACATCTGGCCCACTCTTCTTTCAAGTCCAAAGTGGTTCCCTGAAGCTTCATGACTTGCTTTCTTCTTTTTCCTCTGRTACTTGTTTCCAGATTGGCTCCTTGATGTGATCTGGTAATTGTTCTAACCGTGTCTAAAAACAGAAACAAAACTATTTAAATGATCTTTGCTACAAAGTGAATTTGTTAATTTTTTAAATCCCCTTTGCCTTTTTGTAGGAGTCTAAAATGGGGAGAAGGCAACTTGATATACGTAAGGCATTTGTTATATATATATATAATTTCTTTGATCCTCAGTGATCTCCAGGGAACGCTACACTATGTGGTCACCAAGTTCAGACAACTAGTAGGGAGGAAKACTTCAGAGATGGCTCAGTGAGGATGTGGGGGGATTCTGAGATTGCACAGGAATGGGGGAACCCCCAGCCATTGTGCACACACAGCTTCCAGYGCGACAGATCTTCCCTTCCACTGCAGGGGCCAAGACCAGGCTGCRATATACCAGGCTGATATAACACAGGTATCCCCCAAAGAGGTAGAAATTCAAGTCCTACCTTCGTTATTTCCATGGCAACTCCTTCAGGTAAGTTTCGCTGAATATATTCCAAGTAGACATCTGCTGTGCATCCAGTTAGATGCTCTAACTAAAATATCAGACATAAAAACAGTTCATGSTATGCTGTTAAAGCAGAAATCTTTGGTTTTTTTTGTTGTTGTTTGTTTTTTGGTAAAAGTGAAGCCTGGTTTTCCYCTAAGAATCTTTAACAGACTAAAAAAAGAAAAAAAAGAAAGTACATCCTTTGGCTGAACTAGATATGGGGCCCTGAAGTCTGCTTCTTACCAGATGCCTCCCTAAAAGCCAGGGGTCCACAAAACACCAAATAAAACCAAAAAGAAACAAGACTAGATTACCAGATACAGTTAGTTTATGATTTTTATTATGCTCTACAGCAAGATGATTCTGCTGACATAGATAAAATTTTGAGTCTTTCTTTATTCTTTAGGGTTGGGGGTATAGCTCAGTGGTAGAGGGTTTGCCTAGCATATATGAGGCCGTAGGTTTGACTCCCAATATCACAAAAGAAGAAAAACAAAAGGATTACTTAGACCTTTTTCCTTTAAAAGTAGGAACCTTTTCTTAACATATTTGTGTACCACGCCCCCCAGCTTTTTAAAAACAACTTTTTGGTAGTTGTAGATGGACAAGATGCCTTTATTTTATTTGTTTATTTTTATATGGTGCTGAGAATCGAACCCAGTGCCTTATGCATGCTAGGCAAGTGCTCTGCCACTGAGCCTTTTTTGCCATACTGGGGATTGAACCCAGAGCTTCACACATGTTAGGCAAGCATCCACAGCCCCCTTTTTTTTTTTTTATTTTGAGACAGGGTCTCACTAAGTTGCCAGGGCTAGTTTTGAACTTAAGACCTTCCTTCCTCAGACTGCCTGTACTATCTTGCCTTGCTAACATATTTGTATCCTTAAATGTACAGTGATTTCATGTAAAACACATATGCTTTTTTAAAAAATGACACTTATTAATCATTCACTGTGTGATAGAAGTATTCTAAGTGCTTTACCCAAATATGTCATTTAATCCTCATGCTAACTTTATGAGCTGGGTTCATTATTATTTTCATTTTATAGATGATGCACACATCACACAGTTAGYAAGCACCAGAACTTGAACTTTTTAATACTGTCAGTCTGACTCCAGAACTCACAGCTTCCTTTAATAATAAAACTATACTAGCCCTAGTGAACAGATAAATGAATGATAACAGTTGAAAGAAAAACCTAATGCTGTATATCATCATCACAGAAAAATCCCATTAGATTGTGGAAATAATTATAAGTTGTATTAAGAACTAGGATTTTGAAGCATAGAACAAAATTATTCCAGTGCTATCTGATTATATAAAAATTAGCTGACATAAAAAGAAAAAAAAACTGGAGAGAAAAAAATTAGCATAATCTGCATTTATGCATTAGAGTATTTWCTACTATAAAGGATGGCTTGGAGTTTGGTTTTTCTACTATGTGGCTTCCATGAACACCAAAAAAGACATTTGCCTTCTACAACTAAAAGGTAGAGGCTGGCTAAAATGAAGTCATGGTTAAAGGAAACTTATGATACATATTATTTTAAATTCTGGATATTTAAAAAATGCCTTAATGGGTGAAATAAACTCACCTCTAAACATCTGTAAAGTGTTCTCATTTCATACTGAACTCTGTGCTTTTTGAAAATATGCACTGATTTGAGAAGAGTAAATCGTTCTATTTTCCTTGGAGGTTCATGTCTGAAATTAATGGACAAAATAATAAACTTAAGCTAAATGACATTAAAACCCATGTCACTGATACCAAATCATAATTCCACAATTTTGTAGGTCAGGCTCAAATTCAATTATAGGTATTTACTAACTTCATTTGTCAGACTGTCATCTTTAACAACTACTGTTACAAAGCTCAGGCCAAAACAAACACCATAGATAACAATGGGAAGCTTTTCCCATAGACTCAAAAGCATTGGAAACAAACTGTGAACACATTCATGCACTCATGGTTTCTGTTTTTATGCCTATTGAGTCCCTTATTGACCAAATGCATGACCTGTGAAGAGCACAACAGTGTGGTGAATACAGTGGTCATGCCTGCTGTGTGTTGTTTGAGGAAAACAGATTATGTTGATAACCACAAAATTGTATTTTGTTTTGGGAAAAAATCTGGCCTTCTGTTTCTGTTTGTCAGACTGGGATAGCCCCAAGTAAGTCCTGTTCAACAAAGAAGGAGCAGGGGACAAGACAAAGGAGGCAGTTCTTCTTTACCCTGGAGTGACTCCAAAGCCATATGAAGYTCCCTACACATGCATGTACTCCTGGGTGAGTGGTGTTCCTTAGGGCAGAGTGGAAACAATGGATGCATCAGACAAAAAGATCATCACATCCAAAGGGTCTGAAATGCGTGTTTGTTCACCTACTTTACCTCCCTGTTTCATGGAGATTCATGGGCTTCTTGGGTCTCTTAATGTCAGTGAGATTTCTTTCATTATCCTGTTTACTAATTCCAGTATTTAAAAGTTCCAGTAGACAGAAAGGGATGATCCTGTTTTGGATAACATGACAAACYTAAACAACCCATCATGACTTGTACCTCACTTTATGAGCTCAGACAGATTTGGGATCAGCACCAGTTTCCTCGTTATTATACTACAGCAGCTACCAGATCAGATTAGGAAAAGTTTTACTTACACTTTAATAGAGATACCAAGTTCTTTAGCAGCAAGCACCGCAAAATATTCGTAACTGTCCAATACGGCCTTATCGTGGCCTTTTACTAAAATCGACAGACGTTTATATAATGTGTCTGGTTCATCAGAAATGGTTATCTAAAATGAAAAAGAAAAGTTTCAAGGGCTGGGAATATAGCTTAGTTTGTAGTGTTTGCCTTGCACACACAAGGCACTGGGTTCAACCCCCAGCATTGCAAAAAAAAAAAAAAAAAAAATTCAATTGTGTTTCCTCTCATATTTACAACTAGAAAACTTAACATTTTATCCTTGACAAAAAAACTTTAGTTTACTAATAAATGGGAAGAAAAATGCTGAGGAACATCTTAACACTGTTATTTAACTACCTACATGCTAGCACATTTAGATTTGCACAATGACCCTCGGAAATTGTTAAAACACAGTTTAAATCAAAAGAACTTTCAAGGCAACCTACAAAATCATTAGCAGGACCTGCCAACTTAATAATTATTGAGCCCAATATTCACATTAACAATTTGTTATGATCTTTCTAGACATTTGTCCCATATGTAGTCATTTTATTCATGTACATGGACACCAAAATGGAACTGTGTTATATACAATAAGAAATAATCTCAGGGTCTGTTAACAAAAAATAACCTTATCAAAAGATCTGGATTGAGAATTACACTCTATTTATAGTTGAAGGACCATGGGCAAACCTTATTTCACTGCCCCTTAGTTTTCTCATATATAAAACACAGTAATAAGAGACCTTGCTATAGCTCATAGCAAGGAAAAACTAAGAAAACACAAATTAAAGTGCTTATAAATTGTTAAACATTGTTATACGAACTAAAGCTATTTCTATTCACTTTTTTAATTAGGTTTTTTTTTTCATGTATGCTTTGCCTGCTTTAATATATATATTACTCATGTCTAATTTAAAATATTATGACACTGACTGTACCTATAACTTCTTTCTCTTCCACTCTAATACCCAAAGACCTTAGAAATAATGGGTTTGACATTTCTGTCTGTCTTCCAAAAGGTGAATTATCTATATTTCATTCACCTGTTAAACCAGTAAATTATATTACTAATCCTATGATTCAGGGTTAAATTACTTCATCTCTAAAAAGATCTACTTACTAACCAGGAAGCTAGACATTTACTCTCAATTACTCCAAATGGAGTTGTTRGAAAAACAGGATATACTGATATCCTAAAGTTGGAGGACAATGTGGAAGTGCAAATATAGTCCAAAGATGTGTTCTGATTGATTCTTGTAGGGTTTTATATTTAAATATTAGTTTTTGCAATGTTGAGGATAAAACACAGGGCTTTGTAAACACTAGGCAAGAGTTCTACCACTAAATTAAAGCCCTTGTAGGGTTTTAATTTGTTATGAATGTTAAAAATCAGGAGATTTCTTATTAAATTCTGGATATTAGTTTAGGTTGAGAGATTTGGTGATTAGGCATCAGTAAGTCTGATTKCTGATATGGTCACTGTGGCTAGAATAAGAAGTACAAGGACAGTATGCCACTGTGCCCACATTGCCACCTCTTCTTCCAAGCCTGGCCCCTGCAGTCATCCGAGTTGGAGACCACCGTTTAAATGTACTATCACATGGGGCTGGGATTGTGGCTTAGCGGTAGAGGGCTCGCCTAGCACGGGCGGGACCTGGGTTCGATCCTTAGTACCACATAAAAAAAAAAAATAAAAATAAAGGCATTGTGTTGTGTCCATCTACACCTAAAAAAATATTTTAAAAATATAAATAAATAAATAAATATACTGCCACAGAGATATAGCCAGTATCTACTAAGTAAATTTAGTATAACACAATTTTATTTTGGTGTGCACATGCATGAATAAAATGATTGTGCATGGACAAATGTCTAAAAGGATTCATACAAAACTGTATTTTTAATAGGTGGAAATGAAAGGACTTAGAATTTGAAAGGATTTTTTTTTTTTTTTTAGTTCTCGGCGGACACAACATCTTTGTTGGTATGTGGTGCTGAGGAT